AGCTCGGGTTGAAGATTAATGAAGATTGGACTCCTTGGTACAACAACCAGCAGGTACTCCCTTCACTCCTGAGTATCCTCTTAGCATTTATCGTATTTTGTTGGTTTGATTTGGTTCGGTTGACATCCTGTTTTTAATTAATTAATTAATTGTAATTTTGATATGATAGGTTGGCGGGTGGAGAGTTGTGTACGACGGGCTTATGTTTGTGACAATTAGAGGAGCAGGCCATGAAGTTCCGGTTTTTGCACCAAGGCAGTCGCTCCTCCTGGTTGAACACTTCTTGGCTAATCAGAAACTCCCTTCGAAACCTTTCTAGCATTCCTTATCTTCTTCTTCTTCTTGATGTCAATAAGCAAACGATTCTTTGTAAGCTTGGTTAGCCTCTGCCATCAATCGTACAAGTCAGATTTCCTAGTCTTAATTGGTGGAGTCTTTCAAACTTTGAAGCAGTTGCGTGAAACGAATCTGCAATACCTGTGCATACATTTAGTGGCGAACAGAAGAAAAAATAGCGGCGCCACAGGATCCGTGTAACTGTAAGTTCACCATAAACAAAAATAGCCGTCCAGATGCAGGATTAGGCGTCGCTATTTTTTCTACAGTTAGTTTTCGTTTATTTGCATCCCTGAGCAGGCAGCCACCATAAACGAAAACTGACTGTAGGTCATAGAAAACTACCAACCATTTCCAATCATGTGTGATCTACAGCCATGAGAGAGAGAGAGAGAGAGAGAGAGAGAGAGAGAGAGAGAGAGAGAGAGTCACAAAATTTTGGCAATTAAATGAACTCAGACAACAATCAAGCTAAGCCTATAGTGTGACCGATTTATCTTCTAAATGCTAATATACAATCAATGAAACAACTATCCTTAAAAATGTAACAGACGCTCTTTCTAGCAACAAAATCAAAGAAAAACAAATACTAATGTTACAACAGACAGCTCAAATGATGATAAATAAACTAATTGGTTGCAACCACCAAAATTTGCACGAGGAGGGAGGAAGGCTGCATTGACTTCCGCAGCTTTCTCTATTAGCAAGTCTCGTGTTAAATACCAAAAAAACCTGGACCTGCACGTGAAAGAAGTTCCTGGCCAGCATCCTTACCCATGTCGATCATATCTTGAAAAGCATACGGGCCTTTCCTAGAAGTTTCAAGTACTGAAAATAGACAGAAGGAGAGCGTAATTAGTGCCAAAAATTAATTTCTTTTCTTTCCTTTTTAAGTTTACAGTGGAGAACAAGGAAATAAAACTGAATGAATGTTCCTTAGAGTATGAGCACAAGCATACCACGGGTTCCATCAGGGGAAGCCACCAACCCTTTGAATATGCAATTACCATCCTCATCTTTGCTAGCATATCCAGCAATAGGAGTTCGACAAGACCCATCCAGGGTCAGAAGGAACGACCTCTCGCATGCAACTGCTAGTCTTGTTTCCTCATGATTCAAGGACGCTATGTAATTAGCCTGCAAGGAAAAGACGAACCAAAAATTTAATAATATTTTGGAGAGGCAAAGCAGAGCTTAGCAGTTAGGAGGCAACTATTTCTGTATTAATATTGCTTCCCTTTAGCTATTTAGAACACTTCCTGCTAAATACCCAAGTGTGTGTTCATGGGGCCAATTCAATGAAAGTACTTTACTCAACTAGTGCAAAAGTACAACATCATTCAATCTGTTAGCTTGAGAATGGAAATGTCAAGATTTATACACACCATTTTATCGTCATTGGTTCGGCAGGCTATTCCAATTGCCCCTTGGGCAACTGCTGGAAGCATTTCATCTAGTGAAAGAATTGAAGTCACATTTTCTGTCATATCTAAGCGTTTGAGTCCAGCTAATGCTAATAAGGTTGCTTCGACCACCTTTTCATTAAGCTTTTTCAGCCGTGTCTGGACGTTACCCCGAAAATTCTCCTGCACCTGCAAAATGAAATTAACCACAACGTGAATAAAAAGCAACAGGAGAAACGTCAGAAACCTAAGAAATGGCATGCAATAGTGCTAGGGAGAGAGGAGCAAACACACAGGGATAGAGAATTATAAATAGGAAATAAGAAAAGAGTCATGCTTCAATCGTATCCAGGAAGGAAGGGGGCAGCTGCATCGCCCTATTAATTATTCCTGACAAGCCACAATCAAAGGGCATGAATGTCATGGATCTGAACATCTAGCGCCACTTCAAATCCATCCTAAACATTTTCTCATAAGGGCAATTGGCTAGGAAGGAACTAAAGTCACCACCACTTAGCATTTTCATTCAGATAACGAACATATACAACGGACCTTCAACCCAACCCTACTTCAGGGCAACACACACACACACACACACAACCCCTTCTTAGGACAAGATTTTTTCACCGGGATACAATAGAAAGAAGTAAATGTACCAATGGATATCCATTCAATGGCCCAAGCAAAATACAAGCCCCGTGACTTTCAAAATCAAACACATAGCTAGCACACAATCTTCTCGACATGGTATAAGCAAAAGTCAGAGATGCACGTGACACCAAAGAATAATATGGTAGCTTACATTGAGTGTTGGAAATCTATGGAGTATCTGTGACTTTCTTCTAAGTGAAGCAGTACCAACAGTGCTTCCAGCTGGCAAATCTGCAAGAGAAGATGCAGTTAAAGATATAAATGCATCTCGGACATCCTCTCGCGGAAGGTTGCAAGGAAGAATTGTCTTCTCGGGTAAGTAGGTAGGCACGTCTTTCATTGAGTGGACAGCAATGTCAACATCGCCATTGATGAGTGCCTCATCTATTTCCTTGGTGAACAAACCCTTCCCGCCAATGTCTGCAAGGGGCTGGCTCAGTATTTTATCACCTGTAGTTTTTATGATAACAATCTGAATTGCGCCCTCTTCAGCTAGCTCGGTGTGCGATGCCATGAGTTTCTCTCTTGTCTCGTAAGCCTGAGCAAGTGCTAATGGGCTATCCTATATCCAGAAAGAGTATCAATAACTCACGAAACAAGGCATAAAATACAAGAAATCCATCATTATAACTTATTTAGTCAAAGTTTGAAAGATTATAAAAATACAATCAAAGATTCAAAATCACATCATTTGTCCTAAGAAAAATCTTCAGAAAGTTTTTAAATTTGAAGTAGTATCACAGATTGTTGGCACAATTGAGCATATTTAAATCTAGAAATCCACAGATAACAGGGAGAATTGGAGTAATTGAGCTAAAATCAGATTACACTTTCAAATAGGAGGAAACCCACAGGTAAACAATGGGGAAAAACATGGAAAGTGTACCTTCCCCGGGTGCCAATTTTGATTAGGGCGAGTTTGGACTTCTGGGTCTGTTGCTCAACAGCGACGGAGGCCCTTGGGAGCCCAATTAGACTGTGTTTTCTGATAGAGTTGGGAAAAGCTCGAGGCTTGAGGGAGGGCATGGACAAGTGGAGGACTGAGACGGTGCGAACTCCTGCTGCGAAGTTGATTGAAGAGCATGAAGGAAGCGCCTGCTTGGTCAAAAGAGACGAGGAGCAGGAAGAAGAAGAACAAAAAGCATCCATTGCACTTGCAGATAGAGAGAAAGAGAGAGAGAGAGAGAGAGAGAAGGAGCCGGGGATTGGAGAGTGTTGGAGTTCGAAGGGATTGTCTGAGGATCGATGTTGGATAGGATAATTTGGGTCTTATCGTCCGGTTCCTTATCAACTTCTCATGATTGCCCTCAGCCAAGTCCAACTCCTGCCTTGCCACGTCGGTTTTATTTTCACTTTTTGGAACCCACCCCGGCCCCGCTTTTCCTCAAACCAGATTTGGATCCTTTTTCCTCTTGGACTTCCAATTTTGAATGTAACTTGTGCATAACTATGGCCCATGTTCCAATTTTGAATGTAACTTGTGCATAACATATTTAGATCCTTTTTTACTTCTCACATATCTTTCTAATTTTTGGTCGTCGGATCAGATGAATTGAAGAAGATCAACGGACAGAAATTAACAAATGGTGTGTGAGAAGTAAAAAGAGGTGTGTGGATAGCACACCTCTTTTTTTCATCCAGTAAAAGCAATATTTGGGAATATGCAACTTTTTTTTTCTAAATATGTTACAGGTTCCTAATTATATACTAAGGTCCTTTTCAATAAAAAATTTCACTCAGACTATTATTTCGACATGTTTTTTACTTTAATTTGTTGAACTCGAATTTACTTTCTTCTGTTGGGTTTTCAAAAATATAAACTTTAGTTTAAAGGTAATAAGCAAATGATGACTGAGCCTTTTAAAAGATGTGTTAACTTAAAGTGAAAAGGGCTTATCAAATTGAATATAGTGCAGGCATAACCTTGATCACATTAGCCAGAGAGAATATACTTCTATTTTGAAAAAGATGTTGAAATACCGGACCCTCAAACAAAGTTTACATAACATGATCCTAGTTTTGTTGGCTAGAGCAAATGTATTCTTCTTCTGAACAGTAGTTTGAATCTCAAAGTAGGGCAATCCGTTCTTTGCATCGTGGATAAAATCTAACAAGAGGGGTCAATTGACTATTTTTTAAAATTTATGTAGTTAATTTTTTAAAAAGTACTTAAAGATTCAATTTTAATTAAAATTATAGTTTAGCCATGACATTTTACAATTACACATAAGAAAAAAATAGCAATTTCACTAAATTAAGGATACGCTATCAAATATGACATGTAGTCGAGGGCACATTGCAAGAACAAAACTTCGTTGTTGCTGATAACCTATCACGCGCGCACACATGTTCAAATTTTAATTTTTTTAATCAAACTCGTACACGTGTCCATGTATGATAGCTCATCAGCTTTTCAGCAGTGAAGTTGTTTCCACATTGCAATTTCCACCAAATTAGTTTTTTTCTTTTAATTATTAAAAGAAAAAAGGCGACAGGTCCAGATGCTTCTGGAGGCTTCCACGATCCTAACCAGTCACAAGCATTGATAGGGTCATGGGCATTCTCCTGCGAATAATTATGAAATAAGGAATTTAGACGTGAGGCTGAGAGTGATCTGGATACACAAATTGCAGATCAAAGTTTGAAATACTGAAGAAATTACATAGGTCGATCGACCAACAATAACAATGTCGTACTTGCTACCGCACCTGCATTCAGGGTGGGCCGTCGACCAGGCCATTCTTGCCGAGGAAGAGCGCGTTGTCATCATCCGATTCGGCCATGACTGGGACGACACTTGCATGCAGGTACTTCTTTTCCTTTTCCCTTTCCATTAATTAATTCAATTGCTTGATTCATATTTCGTAGCCTTGATTCCTTTTCTTATACTAGCGATGCCAGGTGGAGGAGATTTGAATTCGGAACCTCGGATGACGAGGTTGAATACTCTTAACGAATTTCTTGCTTGTTTTGATATTAATGTGGAAAGGCTTGATCATCTCAGGTTCACGCGATTGCTGTTTTCTTATCTTTAATATTAATTCATTAATTCTTGAACGAAAAACGAATTGGAAGAGAGGCAAAACAGTCGCAGAGCCAAATCCAAGATGCTCGGAACCCGGGACTCGCGGGTTATTCCGGTTCCGGTCATACGGGTTCAGTCCGTTACCTTTCTCAAGTTTTAATCTGGACCCTTCGTTTCATCCAACGGTTCTAAAATGTTACTCGTAAAAGCAACGATGCCCCACCGACTACATGTTGGTATAAGTTGGTCGGGGCGCGTGGTATCCATTATTCTTTCTTAAAAAATTGTCAAACTATTTTAGATTTTTCTGAGAGCGAGAGAAAAGCTTGGGAGAGAGTAAGAGGGAGAGGGTCGACGGGAAACGATGTCGTATCTGCTGCCGCACCTCCACTCAGGATGGGCCGTCGATCAGGCCATCCTCGCCGAGGAGGAGCGTCTCGTTCTCATCCGATTCGGCCACGATTGGGATGAGACCTGTATGCAGGTTCGGATTCCTTTTTCGCAACTTTCGTTAACCCTAAATCCTCAATTCTTTTAATTAATTTATTTATTTATGATTCTTTTTTTTTTTTAATTCAAAATTGATTCGATTACATGGTAAAATCCTATTATTTTGGAGAGAGACGACATCAGGAATGATTCTTTAGCAACTGAGTAGGTGTGGCTGACTTTTGCTAGGGTTTTATTTCGTATATGCATATAGTAATTATATCCTTTGAAATTCTTTGGTGTATGTAAACTTTTCGTATTTGCAGTATGCTTGAAGATTTGAGTTGCTTAGACTAATTTAGTAAAATTTTACCAAGTATGAAGCAGTTTCGAAATTCTAGTAATCTCTTATATTGATATATTCCAAACTGATTCCCGAGCAAGCCAAATTATCAACTAATATCGTAAATGTTTGATCTTGTAAACCGTTTTCAGTGTTCTATGAAATTCTCTCTGTTTTTTTTGGGCTGTTCAGTGTTCACTGTGGTGATTAGCTTTCGTACGGGCAACGATTTATTTTCATACGGATCCATTTCTTTATTGTGATGAAAAAACTTAAGTTAGATGGACCGTGTTCATGAAAAGTAGTCCGATTTATTTTAAGCCTCTTATCTGATCCTTGTTTCATTTATCAACTCTCTTTTTTTCGGTATATTGGATATATTTATTAACCCTAATTTGAAAGCTGCCGGTTAACTTGTGGTTGGTTATCATGTCCGGTTTGTTAGATGGATGAGGTGCTGGCTTCAGTTGCTGAGACATTAAAAAACTTTGCTGTGATTTACCTTGTGGACATCACGGAGGTTCCTGATTTCAACACAATGTATGAGCTGTACGATCCATCGACAGTGATGTTCTTTTTCAGAAACAAGCACATTATGATTGATCTTGGCACGGGGAACAACAACAAGATCAACTGGGCTCTCAAGGACAAGCAAGAGTTCATTGACATTGTTGAGACAGTGTACCGCGGGGCAAGGAAGGGACGCGGTCTGGTCATTGCTCCCAAGGACTACTCCACCAAGTATCGCTACTAAGCCCTGCAGACATGTTTTTCATTTCGGGGAATATCTTGTAATTTGAAATTGGTTGGAGTTGCATTGAACCTTTGAAATGTGTAACCCGGCTATCGGACATCGTATTTTCTTTACGTTGTGGCATTAATGAAAGTGCTTTATGGACTGGGGAAGAAGATGATGGGTCTAATAAGTTATTTTTTAAGATGAGAGGTTGTAGGCAACGCGTTACATAGATCATCAAATAGCAAATGTATTTGCGTCAAGTTTTTGACTGGTCCTTGGATGGTTGATGCATGAAATTTAGTCCATGGATGGTTGGTGCCCGTGCGTCGCCACTGCCGTGTAGGCGGTACGGCTTTTTCCTGCTCGAATAATAATATTTCACTCGCGTCTCTTTAGCAACGTATAAACACAAATCTGGCGGACAACTTCTTCGCTATCATAGTACAGGCAGTTTCCACCTCCACCTCTCAGGCTCAACAACTCGGAGATCGATGAGTTGGTTAGCTTTGACATAGAAATCGAGGTGTTTCCTCCCATCTCCTACAAAGATTACCTCGTCCTTGAGATCATTACTACCGCTTACCTTTACCCTTTCAGCTCGACGAGTTTGACCACCAAACTTCAGCTTCAACATCAGATATATATCTTCCACTTCACTCCGCCAGAAAAGCATAATGTCACCTTTGGTGGACCTGAACAAGGACGCTCTCGCATCTTCCATTTCACCAGGAATGTCGTGGGGAACTCATACAAATAATGTCTTTCCCCTGCACTCATTTTTGGAGGAGAGAACCTCTTGGGGATCGAAAACCACTAGATAACTGATATCTTCCTGCACCATTGCGTACAACTTCCCATCATCGTGGAATAGATTGTAGCAGCACGAAATTGTTCAATTACAAATGAAAAGGTTCCATGTTCTGTAAGTATAGCTAGCTATATATTAAGAATATTATTCAATCTGGACGAAGAGATTGTAGCAGCACGAAATTGTTGGAGAAACAAATCGTAGCATCTTCATCATCCTCCTCGTCACAATCGTCAGTGCTAGTTGGATGACATTCTCTGACGACAGGAGCAGGATCAGTACTTGTATAGTCTTTGACGACAGGTTTGGGTGTAAACCAAACCGAAATCCGATGTGGTTTAAGGGCGCCTGGTCCACGCCGGGTAGGAGGATACTTGACTAGTGTCCCTTGAGCTACGTTGTAAACACAAATCTTACGAACATCTACCTCGCTAGGAAAATAGATGCAGTTTCCACCTCCCAATCCTAGAAACTCCTCCGAGTTTGGTGAGTAGTAGTCCAGCTTGGACCTAGGAACCAAGGTGTTTCCTCCGCGACCTACAAAGATGTCCTCGTCCTTGAGATAGTGACTGCCGTTCATCTTTACCCATTCGGGTGGACCATTTGCATCATCAAACTTCAACTTCAACACTATAAATGTGTAAGGCTCATCCCGCCAAAAGAGCATGATATCACCTTTGGAGGAACTGAACAAGGACGCTGTCGAAGAATGCATTTCATAAGGAATACGATCGGGCACTGTTACATCTAATGTCTTGCCCTTGAATTCGGTGCTTTGATTAGAATCTGCAAGAACCTCTTGGGGATCAAAAACAACCACACGGCGAATATCTTCCATCTCTAGTGCATACAACTTGCCATCGTCATGGAATTGAATTTCACAAATTCTTTTGTTGTTCAATTGGCATGTCCATTTCTCATCAGTTAGCCAGCAAAACAACAGCATACGTCTGTCTGCTGCAATTGCTGCCACAATGCATGCATTGTTACTAGTATTCTTGGGAACTGAACAGGCCTGTTAGTTGATTAAGGTCTAAACTGTATTTTCCTTACTTTAGCATGTGTAAATAAATCAGTTTGTGATCAAGGGCTGAGATTAGATAATATTGTGCTAGGCTCAGATGTAAGCATGTGTCAAGATCTCATAGGTTCTTGTAATGGATGGTATGATGAGCTCATAGGCTCACGTAGCTTCTCTCTCCCTAATGTCATGTAAATGTTGAGGTTCTGAAGGAATATATGCAGAGAGCATTTTTGGCTCTCACAGATATATTTTAGAGAACTCTCTCTGCCTCTTCACTTTCTCTCAAAACTTCTTCTTCCAACATGGTATCCAGAGCCTAGGTTCGATTTCGGACTGGGCGTTGAATTCTGTGAAATTGTGTGAGAGCATCCAATGTGAAATCTCTCAATTTCATTCTGAGTCAAGCTAAATGGCTGGATCTGGAAGCAGTGATTTACGAGCTCCTATTTTTGATGGAACGGAGTTCGAGTTCTGGAAAGTGAGAATGGTCACCATTTTCAAATCGTATGGGATATGGAAATTGGTTGACAAAGGGATTGTTATTCCAGAATCGAAGAAGAAAGGAGAAAAGAAGAAAACAAAGAAGGAGAAAGACGAGGAAGATTCATCCTCATCGGATGATGATGAAGGAGATGATGACGAGTTGGACGCACACATGGAAGATCAGCTCATGAAAGATGCTAAGGCACTGGGCATTATTCAGAGTGCTGTCTTGAAGGAGATCTTCCCTCGGATTGTGAATCAAGAGACCTCAAAGGGTGCCTGGGATCTACTCCAGGAGGAGTTTCGCGGCGATGAACAGGCAAGATCTGTTAAACTTCAAAGCTTACGTCGTGAATTTGAGTATATGAGAATGAAGGAGAATGAATCTCTATCTGTCTATCTTACTAGACTATTTGAGTTGATTAATCAGATGAAATCTTATGGTGAGAACCTCACTCATCAAAGAGAAGTGCAAAAGGTTTTGATTAGTTTGTCTAGTAAATATGATCCAATCTGTGTTGTGATTGAAAGAACTTTTGATTTGAATACTGTGACTGTGCAAGAAGTGGTAGGATCTCTTAAGAGTTATGAGCTTAGATTGAGTAGACATGTTGATGAAATTACAAGCAAGGAGCATGCTTTCTCCACTATGGGTCTTGTACCTAAAGCACAGAATAAGCCACTCACACAGGGAAATCACAGTAAGGGAAAGAAGAATTGGAAGTCTATGACTAGGAAGTGGGAAAACAACACTCGACTGCCTGAGAGACAGGGTGAGATCATTGAGGGTGTTAAACAGAAATGCAAGATCTATGATAAGGCTCATCATGGAGAGTGTTGGTTCAAAGGAAAACCTAAGTGTCATAACTGCAACAGATTTGGACATGTAGTGAGAGATTGTCACCAGCCAAAGAAAAATCATACTGCAAATTACTTGAATCATGTTCAAGATAATGCAATGATGTTCTATGCCTGTCATAAGGCCTCTGTGCAAGAAAATAGTGGTGTTTGGTATCTGGACAGTGGTTGCAGTAACCACATGACCAGTACTGAATCACTGCTGATCAACATTGACAGAAGTATAAGGTGTAAGGTGAAAATGGGCACAGGGGAATTGGTTGACTCAGTTGGCAAAGGCACACTGATTGTGGAGACCAAAAGAGGCACTCGGTTCATACCAGAAGTAATGATTGTACCTGGTTTGGATGAACTTCTTCTTCCAACAAGGCCACCATCTGTCGTAACATGATCACCGGTCATTGGGTGGAACAAGTAGACCCTCACCTTGGCACTCTCAAGGTTAGTAGTCCTGCAGGTTTTGTGCCATACGCAATCCGAAATTATCAGCCAATCGTCCACTGATCCCAAGCACCGGATTCCCCGGTAGTTTACAACATGCTTACTAATAGGGGCGTCGTCATCTTTTGGACCAACTGGTGCAGGAAATAGTGAAAACCTGTTGAGGTTGTTGTAGATTTTGTTTTCACTTGGATTGTACATACTGTTGATTATTGACTCAAACATGTAGTCAAAGTCCAAACCTTTGGGCTACTTTTGTGGTCAAAATTGTTGGATGGCATGCTACATGTGGGAAACCAAAATTGGATGCACTTATGCCTAATTCTTTTTTACTTGATGTTAGGCCTTTGGCCATTGATGTCTTTGAGAAGCTTTTCTTTGGCTATAAAAGGAGAGCAAGGTGCAGCTCATAAGCATGGAGTAGAGACAAGAGGAGAACAAGGAAAAGAGAAAAATAGCAATAAGCCATTCGGCATAGAGAAGAATTTTCTCAAATTGTCTTGCTTTGTATTTTTTGTTTTCTCTTCCTATTGTAAGTGTGAGAGCTTGGGTTATTTGGGTCTTTGGGAAATTGAGTGATAAACACTATTGTATGTTCTCATTGATTATAGTGGAATACTCCGTCGTCTCCAAACTGGATGTAGGCATTGCCGAACCAGTATAAATTTTGGTGTTCTTGTTGATAGTGGTTTTATTCTGTTCTGTTTAACTATTCACTTACAGTTGTATGCCGCTTCCGCACAACACATACTACACATCACCTTTGTTGAATATGGAGAAGAATGAGATTCTATCACCCATGGAATTTGAATTTTGGGAACAGATTCCAATTCCTGGCTGCTGTTTCTTGTTCTTGTTAATTGTTTTGAACAGTTTGATGCTGCACTGCTCCAAGATCGACACACGGCCCCCATTCTTACTCTATCTTTAAGGCTTAGCCGCTTCGCTATCTCTTCAATTAAATCCTTTAGAAGATGTTCCGACCACTTGTACATGATCATACTGTCTCCGCAGCTTTTGCTTTTACTTTTCCTATTGCTATCATTATTGGTATCGGTATCAGTATGGCTGTTATGAGCCTTGAAAGGATGTGCACTCGAATTTGACTTTGCATTCTGAACCTGTGTAGCGGAAACACCACCAAGGGCTGAACTGCTCACACTGTCACGATCACTTGGATTATATTTGGGGTTTAAAAAAGTTGAACGCATATGCTTCTTCATTTTATGCCAAGTCTCAATCTTATATTCTCCTCTTCGCGAACATCGATCATTGTTGAATCTCTCACGTATGGATGCTTACTTATATAGAGATAGAGCCTAAGGGGATACGCATATCACAAGCTGATTAGAAATCCTTATATACTTTTCTAAATTACGTCCAAATAGAATAGGAAACCTCCTTTGCCCATAACAAAAGGGAAATTGTTCAAGGATCAACATGTTTGTACCCCAAATTTATTACTGTCTAGGCCTTGAGATGCTATCTTAATTAATTGGCAGGAAAACTAATTGTTTTTGCACACAAAATAGTGTCGTGGAAATAAAAATGGAAAGTACTGCAAGATTTGGCTTGGAGGTCAAGACTCCTAGGGATATCAACAGTTAAAGCACGTGAACAATAAAAACATATAGCTTCCTATTAAA